CACTGAAAATTTAACAATCCGCTTGGATCCAACATAATGCTGCTTAGGAATTATAGCACTTGGATTCAGATCTCACTTCTGATATTTACTAATTTTGTGACCTAGGGCAAGTCACTTAAACTCTCTGAGCCTCAGTTCCTCATCTGGAAAATGAGAAGTTGCACTAGAAGGCCTGTAAGGTCCCTTTCAGGTCAAAATCTTGACTTAGTTTGGGATCTTTTTTTTCCCTTAATATAGGTTTTTGCTATAGTCAGACAGTTTCTATGACTGAATTTCCTTGATTATTTTACAGAAATTTCAATTTCCTGCTTAGACTCCCGTTTTGAACTGTTTTTTTTTCACTGTCCCTCTTATTTTATGATAATGTTTTATACTTATGCTGTACAGACTTGCTTATTGATTTTTCATTGTTATGGGCTTAAGTACTGATATCTTTAGCGTTACTGCACTCACTGGTAATCACAAGTTAAGCTAAAATTAGCACCATGTCTGTCTAGCAGTTGTACTGCTAGTGAAAAACGATGAAATTCAGTCCCCACAAGGGATTCCTGGGATTGGGTTTGCCTAATACACAAAGAGCTATATATGTTGGAGGCAGTTCTTTAAAAAACACATACAATTTAGTGGAAGAGTTTCTTTCCAGAGCATACAGAGATCTAGACAATTCACTGTCTTTGTTATAAAGATTATCTGAACCAGGGAAGCGTTCTAAAATCCCTACAGAGGTAAAAGGTAAGGAGAATACTTAGGACCTGGTAACTAGGCCTTTTCCTAAAGACAAAAAGATCCTTCATAGAACTCAACTGTAGTTCAATAGGGCTTTTAACTTCTACTCTGATTCCAAATAGAGTATTCCCCCCCCCCCCACTTCATCTCTCCCTCTTCCTTCCTCTTCGGCAGCTAGGTGACTCAGTGGATAGAGTGCTGGGCCTGTAATCAGGATGACTTGTGTTCAAATGTGACCTCAGACACTTACTAATTGTGTGACCCTGTGCAACTCACTTAGCCCTGTTTGCCTCAGTTTCCTCCTCTGTAAAATGAGCTGGAGAAGGAAATGGCAAACCACTCCAGTATCTCTGCTTAAAAAAAAATTCCAAATGGGGTGATGAAGAGTCGGACACCACTGAAATGACTGAACAGCACTACACACACACACACGCACACACACACACACACACACACACACATTTACTTCATAAGATAAAAAAGGCTTATTTTGGGCTTATGACCATCAAGGGTTCCCATAACTATATCCAAATGGCCTGAATCAATGTCTCCTTAATCTCTAATGCTTCATTCCAGGAAAAGGAATGGAAATGCCCAAGGTGTGAAGAGAGATGGTCACAACTGACCCTGAAGAAAGAGCTATCTGCCAGACTTTGAGCAGCAGGTGTTAATAGGCCTCTTCCCACTACACTGAGCTAAGGCTAAGAGATTTTTCAAGAGGAAGATTCACATGGTTCTGGGGAGAAACCATTTGACATGAATATGGCATGCCAATCACCGAACTGCTACAGTGATGACATGGTTCACTTATTTTCACACATGATTCTCCACCTCCCTTTTATATGACATTGCCGTAGCTGCCCCCTATACTCTAAATGCTCTCCTCTACCTCTTACAATCCCTGGGGTCCCTGAAGAGTCAGCTCAAATGCCATCTATAGGAAGCTTCTTCTGACCCACCCCAGTTCCTAGAGCCTTCCCTTCTAAACTATAATACTAGAAAGTATAAAAACATTAATAAGTCTAAAGAATTTCTAATAACAACAAACATTCAAATAGCACTTTGATTTAGCCTCATACAAACCCTGTGAGATGGGCAAAAAAAGTGTTCCCATCTTGTTATCTGCATCTTACAGTCAAGGAAACTGTGTCTCAGAGGGGTTAAGAGGCTACATAGGAAATAAGTGTCAAAGACTGGATTTGAACTCAGCTGTACTGACTCCAAGTGCAGCAATCTAACCGCTATCCCATGCTACCATCGGTCAGATCTGCTGAAATATTACATATTTCTTGTTGGTTTTGTTCAGTTGTTTCAGTCGTCCATGCAAATTAAAGTTGTCCAACTTTCATGACCCCATTTAAGGTTTTCTTGGCAAAGTTACTGGAGTGGTTTGTCATTTCCTTCGCCAACTCATTGAGGAAATTGAAGGAAACAAGGTTAAGCGACTTGCCCAAGGTGACTCAGCTACTAAGTGTCTGAGGCCAGATTTGAATCTTCCTGACTCCAGGCCCAGTGCTCTATTTACTGTGCTCCCTAGCTTCCTGCGTATTTGTACCGTGACTCCAACATACAAAAATGAAGTAAACCAATTCACAGAAACTTGTGTGATAGAAGAAAATTCTGATGAAAGTGTCAAACTCCTTTTGGAATTGTTGTAATACGACCTGAAAGGTTTTGTAAAAACAGCATCAACATTTGGCAGAACTTAAATCCCCTAGTTCTAATGTATGCCATTATTTTACCTTTCCTAGAATGAAACTTTAGAGAGTAAGGAGGCCCTGATTCAGGCCGCGTGGACATTGTTAATGGGCAGCTAGGGGCGCAGTGGAGAAAGTCCGCACCCTGGAGTTAGAAAGACTTATTTTCCTGGGTTCAAATCTGGCCTCAGATGCTTATTAGCTGTGTGACCCTGAGCAAGTCATTTAACTCTGTTTGCCTCACTTTCCTCATCTGTAAAATGAACTGGAGAAGGAAATGACAAACCACTCCAGTATCTCTGCCAAGAAAACCCCAGATGGGGTCATGAAGAATGGACGACTGAAAAACAACTCAAAAGGACATAGTTATGGGAACCCTTGGTGGTGATAAGCCCAAACCAAGCCTTTTTATCTTTTAAAGTATGTGTGTGTGCACACAAAGATATTTGTATCTATGAAAAAAGAGCATTGATTTGGAATGAGGGAACCTGAGTTCAGAGCCTTATTACCAGCATGACATTAAGCAAATGACTTAATTTTCCTGGGCTTCTCACATAAAATGAAGGAGTCAGATGAGATAGACTCCAAGGTCCCTTTGTGTTCTAAGTTTGTGATCCTGGGATCCTTCTGAGAGGGAGAAAGATGGAAGAGAGAGGAAAATTAAGCTAAATAAGATAACATCAGGGAAAACCATTGGCATTATGCTAATAATAGAAATAGAACTAAAGAGAGAGGAAAACACTATATAAATGTGGTGTGCCTCTGAAAATGATTAGTCATTTACATAAATTGCTTATTATTTATGCATAATTATCATATGGCAGACAATTTTCTTTATCATTAAATATGTCAAATTAACTTGTGTACATTGTTATAACACCCAGGCTTATTCCCCATCATTTATTGCCTACATAACGTGGTCATCTGTACACAATTAAAAAAAAAACTCAGAGAAAACATTGACCATTAAGGATCTTAAGAATCTTCACGTTTACTGACTAGGGGAAGTTAATGCTGATATGTGGAGATGAGGGCTGGGGAGTCAAAGCTGGGTTGTGTGTGTCCCAAGGCACAGAATCTGGTTCTGAGCAACTTAAAACTTGGCAGTGGATTAAGTTAGCATGCATTTATTAAGCACCTTTTAGGTACCAGGGCTCTGTGTCAAGTGTTGGATTGGAATCGTATCCTCCCTGGACTCCTCAGATTACTGCGGGTGTATGTTTGATCTCACCAAGTATCCTCACCAGAAGATCAGTCTTCTACAGAATGTTCATGGCTAGTTGCCTGATTTTTTGTCCTATTGCTTCTCAACTATTCAACTGTATGAACATAACTGCACTAGGTGATGGGGGTATAAAGACAAAAAAAACAAACAGTAGTGAATGCTCTGCTCCAACAGTGGCTGACATTTGAAATAGAGTTGGGTTGTCGGGGGATGAGTAGAGCAAACAGCCACGCATGTTCAATGTTGTTTTGCGATAGTGCCACAGAGTTTCCAAAAGCATTTTGTAGGAGCAGAAAGTGAGTATGTGATCATAGGTTGAAAGCTTGATAGGGTGGTGCAGTGGATGGAGTCAAGAAAACCTGAGTTCAAATCCAGCCTCAGTTACTTCCTAGCTGTGTGACCTTGGGTAAGTCACTTAAACCTCTCTTTGTCTTAGTTTCCTCATCTGTTAAATGAGCTGGAGAAGTAAATGGCGTAACACTCCAGTATCTTTGCCAAGAAAACGGGGTCACAAAGAGTCAGACACAACTGAAACAACTGAACGAAAACAGCAAATATGTAATCTTTCAGCTGACCTGACCAAAGTCTTAATGACTTTGTAATGTGAAGAGGCAGTGTGGATTATAAAATGGGCATAACAACAGTGCCTTCCTCTCACGGTTGTGCTGAGTATCAAATGAGATAATATTGTAAAGCGCCTAGCACATTGCTAACACATAATAGGTGCTCAATAAAAAGTTAATTTATTGATTGACCTTTATACATCATTTAATCTCAAGCTTCTTAACCTGAGATCCATGAACTTTTCTTTTTAAAAATAAATGGATAGTTGTACTTCAATATAATCAGTTTCCTTTATAGTCCTATGTATTTTATTTTATGTATTAAAAGCATTCTGGAAGGTGATCTATAGGTTTCACCACACTGCCAAATGAGTGCATCACACACAAACATGTTAACGTCTTAACAAAAATGTTAAGAACAACTGATCTAGTCCACCCCCTCTCGTTTTCCAAATGAGGAAACTGAGGTTCAGAGTAACTCAATGACCTGATCAAGATCATCCATCTAGTAAGTAGCAAATGGAGATTCAAATGCAATGCCTCTAACTCCAAATCTAGCACTTTTCCCAGTATTCCACTGGATGAGGCTTTCCGAACTTGGAATAGGCCTTAACTTTTTCCCGAAAAGCTGTCACAAACAAATTGAATCAGATCTCAGAATGTTGAGTTATTCAGGGTTCTCCAGCTACTTTGTGTGCATTTCTGAACTGTATTCTATTTGGGAGTATTATGAGTTTGGAGAACACACATGAACACATGTCACTAATGTTTCCTTTTTTCTCTTTGCAGCATTTTGTTTGCAGATATTGTGGGCTTCACTAGTTTGGCATCCCAGTGCACTGCTCAAGAGCTGGTGAAGCTTCTGAACGAACTCTTTGGGAAGTTTGATGAATTGGCCACTGTAAGCATATCTTTTTTTCCCCTCCAATTCAATTTGAATTGCTTTATGAATAATAATGTCCCAGGTGAATTACAAATGTTTGAAATAGGAAATAGACTGATTGCTAAGCACTGTTGGATAGTAAGACCCATAAATCATGAATTTTCAGAACTTAAAAACTGCATTAATCCTTTTCCTGGGGCTGAGCAATGCATTTACTAGATAAGAAAAATACATAGAGTATGTCTGAATATATATACATACATATGTGTGTGTGTGTGTGTGTGTGTATGTGTGTGTATATATGAATACACACATATATGATGTTGAAAAGCCAATGCAGCTTTGATTAAAAAAAACCTTTAAAAGTGAGAATTTTGAATTTATCTTATTCTTGTGTGAGTAAAAGAGTCCAATAAAAAAAAACAAATATATTTTGCGCTGCCTACAATTGACTAGATGGTAAAGCTATCTGAAAACAATCAGACTCGTGGTAGGTAGGAGGGTTCTGTTGCCATTTATTTGAGAGAAGTTTGGAGTCAATACAGAAACACCAGGATCCCAAGAGACGGGATAGTTACCACCCTCCTCCACGTTTATGCTACGCTTGGGTAAACGTCTCATTGAAATGTGTCTAACTGTCATAAAGACATCATTTTTGATAACTTTGATAACACTTAGCCCAGTGGTAAAGGGATACCCGGTGCCATCTTTTCTAGAGACAGCTTATTCATTAGCTTAAAATAGTATCTAAAAAGCAGGAAAAAGAGGGCCATGAACGATCAATAGTGGTTATCACAAAGCCTTGAAACTAAAACATTAAAGGCAAAGAGAACCCCTCAATTCCTCATTCAGAACCTCTTTTTTCCTATTTTAGACACAGCTCTAACAAACTCGGTTATCTGTTTTTTGTCCCGAATCCTATCAGAAGGATAGGGGAAGGGGAAGAGGGAAGGAAACCAAAGGCAGGCACACCTAGAACAGTAAAAAAGTGGCAACCAATCATGACCACCTATGAGTAAATGGGAAAACTAAGTTTAACCATTAATTCAAGTTTAATACCCTATTATAATATTTAGATGGTTTTGAGCCTAAAGGCAATATTTTATGGAGTTTATATTAAGTTAGAACTTGAGATCGCAATTACTCAGTGCTCCATGTTTGGAAAATCTCTAACATTTAGACAGAAGTTTAGCTCTATGCCTTATTTTATACTTACATTTATTTCTAACTAACCCCTGGCCTGCAAAACTCAGCTCAACTGAAAACAGCTCAACTTGGGAAAAGAAGTAAAATATATTAATATGTCTGTTAATACTTAGGCACTGAGAGAAGAAGTTGAGGGGAGAATAGACCTTTTCTTAGAACTTTCTTCGGTGGCATCTGCCTGAATCTGAGCATCTATATAGGGCTATTGACCCTTTTTGATCTCTCCTTTTTCTGCTATAGCTTTATCCCACTTCATCTTTCTTCTTTTGCAGATTCTTTCTGAGTCAGCTCTCGATGTCCCTAAGATTTCCTCTCCATATCCAGACCCTCAGAATCTTAGTTCTGAACTAAGTCTTAGTTTTCTGCAAGTGCCTCAGGGCTTGTCCAAGTACCTTACTCAATCTGAACAGACTTCCTGTTGATTTTAACTGGCATGTTTTTGATTGATTCAAGGTGTCCAGACCGATCTAGGAGTGTTCATACCTAAGGTGGATCTTTTTAAGTGGGGAGGGGGAAATCATGGATTCTGCTCTTACACAAGACTTCAAAAATCAAACTTGAGGCGTTTAGTAGAGGGGCAAATGGTACCTGAGAGTCTTATTGTACTAATGGTGTCATTATTGTCATTCATTGTAATGATCCTATGTGATTTTTTTAAAAGTTGACCATCTATTATCATCTGTTAAGAAGATGAGGAGGTTCTTAATAAAATCAATTGTATCAGAATACAAACTTGGAAAAAAAGTGCCCATAGCCCACTTTAAGTATAATTGGCATTATTTAACATTTTATCCATCACTTTCTTATATGTAGATGATCAATAAGACAATAAATCAAACTTTGATATGTGACATCTGCAAATTTCTAAGGTTTAAATTCTCAAACTGAAAATTTGACGAGTAGATCACCTAAACCGGTTCAAGCTAGCTTCAGCACAACCCTGTTTCCTCTCTATTTGAGGAGTCTAAATTAAAAAAAATAAGCAAGGTAGTTAAATACAATATTGTTAATGGGTGAGGATTACTAAAAGGTGACAATAGTGTTTTAGGAATTTTAGAACTATGTCCCTCAATAATTGTTAAATTTTTTAAAATGATAAATCATGGAAGTAAACTGCATTTATGTGGAAAATTCACTTGTATGGAACAGCTTTTTACCCAGTAATACTACCTGGATAAATGAGGTGCAATGTATGATAGATTAAAAACAAAAAAAACTCTAGAGGAAAAAAGCATGTGGTTTATGACAGCTGTGTAGCAAAGGTATAAGAAACAAAGGAAAATAATGGATTTCTAGAATGGGTAAGTTAGGGTATAATTGTTCTCACTACAAAAAAGAGTTATTTTTTTTTTAAACCAAAAAATTCAATACACAGTTCCTTTGAGTAGCGACTTCCCTAGAGCAATTCAAGAAAATACAGTTCAAAATATGAAAATATGTATCCATACCTATGATGTAGACACTGTCAAGGATAGCAAAGAAAAAGGATAAAATGCAAATGCTAAAGTTCAAGGAAAGAAAAAATATTTTTAAATTAAAGATGAAAATGGTAGTTGAGGAAGATTAATTTGGGGGTAATAAACAAGATGGACTGTGGTGAGCAGTGAGGCTAGTTAGTTAGAAGTCTGTTATAAAAATTTGCATGATGGAGGCCTGAAGTTGAAAGTAATTGGCATGCAGAAGAAGGCTGGATGTTACAAAAGAATTTATTGGAAATTTAAAGGAAATTATTGACAGGTCTTGGGAACAGATATGTTATGAGGTCATAGGGTGAATGACAGAATTAAAAACAGCAATGTTTAGGCCAGGGTGACCAGGAAAATGATTGTGTCATTGACAGAGGATGAAATTAGGGTATAGTCCCAGTTTTAGGAGGAATGGGATGAGTTTAATTTGAAACATGTAGACTTTGAAGCAGCCATGGAGTCTGAAAGAAGATATGATCAGTGGATGTCTTAATGCAATGAAGCTTGCTGAAGCTCCAGATTCCAAAGGAAACACAGAACACTTTATAAGGCAGAGTCAGTAAGTAAAGGAAGGCTTCTTTATTGAGGGGCAATACTCACTGTAAGAATGGGCAGTCAGAGGATAGGGGCCACAGGTAGAATTGGGCACCCTGAAACTGGTAAAATCCAGGAAGGTTTGAGAGGGTTCATATCTGGGTCAAGTAGGAGCAGGCATAGTGAGGGAAGGGGAGAAGCAGGGAGCTAAGACCTGAGACTGGTGCTGATTCATGGTGGGGAAGAATACCTGGGGGTTTGGCCGCTAATTGATATTCAGTCTCCTGGGTTGCATAAAAGGGGGCTTTGCAGAGTCACTGTATGCCTTATCGTAGCAAAGTGTCTCTGGGGATTTGAGCCTCCCTGGAGGCATCTTCATTTAGTCAAGTGGGAAGGCTTCTGGGGGTCCTTACAGTAGACATTTGGAAAAAGGACTAGAATATGAGGTCAAGGTGAAAAATATGGGATATTGTGGTGGAGAGAGCAATGAATTTAGTCAGAGGACCTGTTGATAACTCTTGACTTTGAGTGAGCTATTTTGCTTCAAAGTGAAGGGGTTGGACCAGGCTATTTCTCAGGTCCTTTTAAATCCTACAATTCTATGTAGGTTTGGGAGTCACCTACACTTGAGATAGAGGAGATCTCAAAGAGAAAGAACAGAGATAGAGAAGAGTTGTGGCTCCTCCTCTATCACTTTTCCTAAAAGTTCTATAATGAAAAGAAAGAGGAATTGGGATGGTCACTAGAGGGTGCTGCAAGGCCAAGGAAAAGTTTGTTTTTGTTGAGACAGAGTAGAAGAGCCCCAGAAAAAAGTCGATTGTAGATGGTAGAGAGTATATGATAAGAAAACAGATGCTAGAGGAAATAAGGCTACAGTGGGATGGGACTGAGAGTACACATGGAGTGCCTAGCTTTAGGAAGGTTGAAGGATATATCAAATAAGATCAAGTTTGTAAAGCACTTTGTAAATGTTAAAGTGTTATATATAAACGCTATCATCATCATCACTACTACTACTACTACTACTACTACTACTACTACTACTACTACTCCTCTTATCTCCCTTTGAGACTGGAAACAAGCTATAGTTGAAAAGAAAGAAAGGAAGATGAAGAAAATTTGTTTCTGAAGGCATCAGTAGACAAGTCTGAATACTGGATTTTGAATTTTTGTTTTGTGCCTCATCTTCCACCAGTAACTTTCTACCTGGGAGCAAAAGCTGAGAAGGTCTTATAGGAATGATTCTGTACAATCTTCATCCTCTGAGAGAGACAGAGAGAGAGAGAGAGAGAGAGAGAGAGAGAGTGTGTGTGTGTGTGTGTGTGTGTGTGTGTGTGTAGAAAGTGTAGTGTAATAAAACAGGCACCGGTTTTAGAGTCAAAGAACCTGGGTTCAAATCCCCTTCTTTATACCTGTGTGATGTTAGCCAGTTGACATTAATGGGCCTCAGTTTCTTAGTTGAAAAAATAGGGTGGTTGGACTGGATGATCTCTGAGGTTCCTTATGATTCAATCCTATGATTCTATGAATGGAGTCAATATATGGTAGTAATTAAGAACAATTAATAGGCCCTTAGGGAAAGATCTCTTGTAAAAAAAGAAGATGAGTTCAGCATTGTGATCTGAAGTAATAAATAGCCTACTTTGTTAAATCAGTGTCTACAGAAACTAAATCCAAATACAATGTATGAGGTGGGAGAGGGTTTTATTTTATTTTATTTTTCCTTGCCGGAATCTAAAGCTGAGGAAGCCAGCACATAGTCAGAAAGGACACACTATAGTAGGGAAAGAATAGGCAATAGTGAATGGAGGG